CACACACACACACACACACACACACACAACCACACACACACACAACCACACACACACACAGGCACGCACGGCTCTATCCACCCAAGACACACATACACATTGGAGCAGCGGAAGGAGACAGAGAGGGAAAGAGCAGAGAGCTCGGTGAGGAAAGGGGGACAGCGTGATGTGGTGGAGGCGAGAAGAGATATGGAAGGATGGAAGAGGATGGAGGAAGCTAACCTCTCTCACCTCCCACTTCTCGCCGAGATCGCGACTCCGCTCCCCTCACAACTGGTGTGTTGGCGTGTGGCTGTAGGACGTTAGGGTTGCCACGTGGCATGCACACCGTGTCTTGGTCGGGCACTCGAAGTTCGCTTCAAGCAGAGAAGACACGTCACCATACCATAGATGAGCCAGGCTCCGCCCTCACGCTGTGCGATGTGCGACGATGTGCGACGATGTGCGATGGGCAATGGGGTGGCCAGAACAGAATTAGAGTGAGTGTCCACGTTGACAGGGACAGGTCAATCAGCAAACAATCGTACGGAAGTGCGGGAAATTCTACCTACCTGCAGTGCAGTTTTTGTGTTTTGGAGTAGAAAAGGGGTCCCGCTGCACTACTCTCGAAATGTGCAAAAGGAGAGTGAATCTTCCGCTAGAATATGGAAATGGAAAGATACACCGCCATGATTTTTGTCTCTTGCGCATGTTGAGGTAAGTGCAGCGAGGCCCAAGATTGGAGGACGCACGGGCGCGGCCACGCAGAAGGCGGGGTGGGGTCGACGGGAGGTCGCCGGATCGAGCCCTGAGAGCCAATGAGGTGGAAAAATGCAGTGCACAGATGAGAGGAAAAGCCAATGAGAGGAAAAATGCAGTGCAGAGATCAGGGGCTCGACAATAGAAGTATGGGGTGTGAGGGCCACGTGGTGCTTTGGGGTAAGGGCCAAGGAAAAAGAGGGGGGGGGGGGGCCATGAGCACTGGGCCCATATTAAAAAAAAGGCCGGTTCACAGCCCTAAAGGGGCTGCAGTATAGCAGGGCACGTGGTATCTGTAGCCACAGCTCTTTTTTTTCCTTTCAGATGACCTGCAGTGTGTGGGTACTACAGGGGCTGTGGAACATTGACTTGCCATGCCCTCACGGGTGCACAGCCCATTGGGCCGTAACGATGGGTGTAACAAAGGAGGATGAAAATGACTCAGGTGTATTGCCTACCGCGTGGGCGCGGGGCAGCCCTAAGGGATTATGTTTCGTTGTTTTCCGTTTATATGTTGTTGTCCTCTTCTCCCTCTCTGCCTATGGTTTACCGGGCAGTTCTATTTGACGATATATATACAGGGTCACCAGCCAGTACGTACGGAGGTCCCCGGGCAGACCTCCGTACGTACGGGCGTTCGGGGTCCCGTACGGGGTCCGAACCTGACGGCATTCGGCCGCCGCCAAAAAATATTTCGGGGCCTAAAAATACTTGTTTTTTTTTGAATTTTTTTTTGTGAGTTCTCTATGACATGAGGTACCTGCCCGTAGCCACATAAAAATTAAAAATCGCCAAAGATGGCGGTGTCAAAACGTGCTCGCCCACGTATTTTTCCACTTTTCACTTCCTGTTTTCACTTTAGTTCGCGGTCTAAACAATTTTATTATTTTTTGAAACTTTTTTAGTCGGTTTTGTATTATGTGAAGTACACATCTGTAAATTTTCAGGGCATTTGGCTATGCCAAAAACAAATTAAAAATCGCCAAAGATGGCGGTGTTGAAAACATGCTCACGCACTCACTAAATTTAATTCTCTTTTTATTTTAATTTATTTTTAATATTAGCATTTGTTTTCCGTATTTTATTTTTATTTCAAATTTGGTAAAGAATTCAGATGTAATGCTCAGGCAAATCTTGTTTAATTTATTTTTCTCCATAACATATCTGTTTTTCAGATTTTTTTGATG